TCGTGAAGCTGTTCTTCAAAAAGTTCTCTCCAAATCTGCTTCTGTTGAAGAAGATTGCCTCAAGCACCTTGAATATTTCCAAACTTCCATTACTACAGCAATAGACAAACTCTTCAAAAAGGTCTCTGATCACAAAGCCTCTATCAAATAAACACTTGACACATTCTTCATCAATTTGGGCAAAGACCATTGAGCCGAAGTTGAAAATCTCCATCAGGAGCTTATGCACGATCAAAACAACAATCTTGTGATGACAAGTATGTGTTCCAAGCTCTCCAATGATTTCCTTAAAATTATGAAATGCCCGAGAGAGGAATCAACAAAGCTGAATGAAATAAGTTAAGAGAACTCGTACATTTCTTAAGATTGTTAGCATAAATACAAGTGTGGATGCTATTTCCAAAACTGTCATCCAATCTTTTCTTAAGGTTCTCGCAAAAATTAAGGAACTGAAGACGGGATTCGTGAATAAATTGGGGCCTTCTTTCACGAAAGGGGGAGAAGAGGAACAAAATCTGGAAGAAACAAACAACTCTCCTCCAAAAGCTACACATACTTCCCCTCCAAAAAACGATGATAAGAAAAAGATCCCAGAAGGAACAGTTATTCATACCCTCTTTGATAATGATGCAAACTCATCAAAGAAAGTTCCAACTCCTCCTAAGTCTCCTAAAAAACCACTCAGTCCTCTGAAGTCACCCACAAAGTCTCTGATAAAAACTCCACCAAGAGACCTCGGAAAGAAGAAAGTCGAAGAAGCAGAAATTCCTCTGTCCATCATTCAGAAGGAATAGATTGTTGAAGAAACCAAAAGGCAATTTCCAAGGATCAAGAACACAAAGATCTTCTGGTTGCAACTCTTTTGCAAGAAGAAACAGTAAACGAAATAGTTGTTCCCCCTTCTCCTAAGAGAAGCACCGAAGAAGAAGTCCAAGTTGAAGATCCTCTGTTCCGTCCGTGGAAGTTCATCATCCGAATGATTGAAGACAAGGAAATTGTTCCTTATAAGTTGTATGATGCTATATCTAGTTTCAAGTTTGAGTGGGATCTTCCTATCTCACCAAATGATCAATATTTTCTGATCTTCCTTCATCTTAAAACCTTCAAGACAATATACGAAGAAAGGAAATATTGGAAAATTTCTACTCGTAGCATCACTAGAAGGTCTATGGTATGGGATGGTCTAGAAGAGTTATACTTAAAGTCAAAGGCTTCAAGTCTCGATCATTCAAAGGAGCCTCTCATTACTCCTATGATTTAAGAGGTTAAATGAACAAAAATATTACTTCATTGAAGCAAACTTCCCCATCGCCAATCTTGCTGATTTACTATATATTTCAAAGGAACTAAACAGAAGAATTCCTTTGAAGATAATTACGAGATTTCCCTTGGATCTTGTAACACTCGTTTTCAGGTATTAATTTTACACTTTTATCTTGTGGGTTTTGGGTGACCACGACATGGTGAGAAGGATCACTGTAACGTGACATTGCCTTTTGGGTCAACGGTCTTTTTAAGTGGCCACGAAGTGGTCATGTATTGGCTACGACGTGGCAACATTCTAGGCGTAAAACCCTAGATTTAGGGCCCGGAGCCCTATTTAAAGGATGTGATGGCTAGGGTTTGTCTACCCTCAGCCTCAATCACTCCTCTTTGTGCTTAGATCAAAACCATAGCCTCCTTTAAAGATTTGAGTTCATTTTGGTGATTTGGTATCCTTTGAAGGAAGAAGAAGACGATTTATAGAGCAAGGATCCATCAAGCAACTCATATCCACATTTATGATCATTTTCTGGACCATTGTGAGTCTTCAAGGCTTGATCTGTATGGTTTATTTCTTTTGGATCTAAGAAAGTTAGTATTTATTGGTTATTTGATAAAGTTTGAATGAATGGGTGACATAAAGTTAGAAACTTTATGACTCACCAAGGTCCGTAGAGTGTTTTACCTTCTGGATCTAGAAGTGGAGAATGTTTTGGAAGCCATGCATGAGATTTAGGTCATCTTCTTATCTTTTGATCTAGTTTGAGTGAAGGACATGTATGGTTCATGCATGTCCATTAAGTTTGGATTTTCATGAAGCTTTAGGGTTCCAAGAATCCTTTTGGAAAGTTTGAGCCAAGGGCTTAATCCATTAAGTTGTCCGAGTACATAAACCACGATGTGAAAAGATGCTCGCCACGACATGGTGAAGGAGGATTCATGACTGTTTTGTCGTATTGTTGCTATGGACGTAGTGACATGATTGCCACAACATGGTGGCAGAGCTGGTCGTGACTGTTTTGAATAGCCACGACGTGGTAACTGTTGACCATTGACTTTTTGACATGGTTCACTTTTGGTCAACTGTGTAGTTTTAGAAGGTAGACTGAGGTTTGAACTTAAATGTTTCATTCGGTGGTGTACAACACCAACTTTTTGCCTGTGAGAGCTTTGGCTTTGATTGTGAGGTGAGGCTTCTCATTATACTATATAGGATGCTAGCTGTCTTTGTGACTCTTGCATGGAAAACCATAATCTGGCCCCTTATAACTATATGAAAAACCAGGATCTGGCCCTAAAAAATGTATGAAAGACCAGGATCTGGCCCATGGAACTTGTATGGAAAGACCATGATTTGGTCCGTAGCAGGAAGTGATTGTAAGACTATGTTTTGACCCATAGCGTTCACTTGGGGTTGCAATAAGCCAGTTATATTATGTATGATATGTGATATTTTGGGGAACTCACTAAGCTTTGTGCCTATTGTTTTATATTTAAATGTTTCAGGTATTTCTGGTTCCAAATGGAAGAGTTCGGCTTGATCGCATTGCATCCCCTGAAGTTTGCCGCACTATCTATTTTATGACTTTACTTTGATGTTTTAAGAATACTTTACACTGTGATTATCTTTTGAATAATTGAATGAATGGTTTTGGTTGATGGAAAAAATGAAATTTTTACCTTGTGTTTTTGGGAGGTTACAAATCGTATCTATAAAAAGGGAATTGGGTTGTGATTCTCCTTACACCTTTTCAACATTCTTGCTAGACAACCTTTACTGAAATATATAAGATTACTTTGTTTATCATCATGTTCATTTATTTACGTTTATGGTCTTTCATTATTGTTCTATATATCAGTTGTTAAGTTATATATATTTCCTATTTACTTTTATAGTCATTTTACTTAGATCATTTCCTCGTTTTATCATTATAAATCTTGAATTTCGAAGTGGTTTCATTGGTGAATTTTGTTTGGTTAATATGGTTTATTTTTTAATCTAAAGTTGGAGCAAAAGAATTGGTCATAGTTTGACCCAAGTTTTGAAAACCAGATCGGAGACCAAAGTGACCGTCTTACCGGTTCGATGGTTCGACCGGTCGAACCGGTCTCAAAAACCAGAAAATCGGATAAAGTCATAATTACATTATTATTAATTTTAATTATATAAAAAATACAAAAAATGAAAAAAATTACGGTTCGACCGGATCAGTTTTTACCGGTTCACATGACAACCAGTTTTTTGGCCTCTAAGAACCGAATCCGGGACCGATTCCCAGTTAAACTGGTTGAACCGACCGGGTGCGGTTTTCAAAACATGGGTTTGACCCAGTTTGGTGTAAAATAAGGGGTTAGTGGCATCATTCTAGGAAGAGTACATGGGTTTATTTGTTACTAATTATTTTCAGCATAGTAGGACTAGTTTGCATAATTAAAATAGAAGTAGAAGTGTGGTTTTCGCTAATGTAACTTGAGATTCCAATAGAGAACTAAAAACTCAGAAAATTGTCCCATATTTTGAACCTCTGTTCTTGATTTTTTTCCTGCAAAATTCCCGTGCAGACCTATATCCAACAAACACTTCACACAATGATTTTTTTAAAGATCATCCTTGTGCCTACTAGTTTTTTTTTTTTTTTTTTTTTTTTTTTTTTTTTTTGAACTGGCAAGAATTTTATTAACTTTGCAAAGTAGAAAGGCACCAGGAAGGCAACAACAGCACTAAGTCTTTACAATCAATGGAAATGAGAGATATGTTTAATACGTCCGAACACCAAAGATACGACATTATCAAATATGAATACACAAGTGAAGATCTTTTCCTGTTGAGAATTAAGTCGTTTCTCGCCTTCCATATGCTCCAATGTACACCATATCCAATGGCTAAGAGTAATCAACTGAAACAGTTTCACCCAAACCTGTGATGCATGCAGGCACGTAATCAACATGTGATCAGCAGATCCGTCCCCTTCCAAACACAAATCGCACACGTAAATAACTTTAATCTTTTATCATTGGTCTGTGTTATAAGGTGATATAATTTGTGTAAGTAAATCGATACAACTTTTAGAAGTTGGTGAAGACTGAAGATGCTGTGGTTTGAATTTGGGATACATATGTATGTTTTCTATATCTAATGTAATGTCGTTAACTTCTTAGCACCCATCTAGAGAAATAATTGTAGAATTTTTTTAAAAAATCGCTCAATAAACTACTATTTATTCTTGGGGTTTTTGAAAGGATTGACGGAGCTCTTTGTTTATTAACTTTTCTTCTTTATTCTCCAAAATATTGGAAATTATTCATAATTTCTGAAAAATTGGTTATTGCAATGGAGGTTTGCAAATGCTCAAGCTAGGCTGCCATGTCCACCATGGAAGAGGTACTAATGTATTGTTGAATTGAAGAAAGGAGGAAAACATTCGTTTCATGATAAGTCGTTTGGAAACAAAAAGATCTTTTCTCTCTCTTAAATAATGATAAATTAAAATCAAGGGTATAAATGTCACTATATATTTTTTTTCAGTCCTTACAAAAAAACATAAGCTATTTTAAATAAACAATCCCAAACACCCCTTAGGTTTACCAAACAGTAAGCTCTTATCCTATGTAAACCAAACACAACCTAAATGGACATATTTTCAAGTAAATAAGTCAAAATCATTGTATCTAGTCGAAAGATATACTCGTTACTCTACAATTAAATATGCAAATACTTTTGTTGTTCTTTTGAATAACGTTGATTAGAGAAAAGGGAAGTCTAGATGAAGTCGTATATATCAACACATTACATTTTTCAAGTGCAATGGGAGCTTATGTCACATGTGGGTGATACCCATATATATGTGCCAATCTCCAACTAATCCTACAAAAAAGAAAAAAAAAATTTAACCATCTAACTCTATCAAAAAAATATGCTTATTTATTCCAAGATTCCAGCTGGCCAAAATTGCTGCCACATAGATATATCATCCTTGTTATATAGTTTTTTTATTCCTCCATAGAACCCTTCGGTTTCATTTCCTTCTTCCCGATGGTCTTTCCTATTGATCGTCATATGTCTCCATCGTGAACCCGGTGCATACTGCTTAAACTCGACCACCAACGTATCTGTTACATTAATTTCATGTCACTCTTAAATTTTAATCATTAGAGCACAATATGGGCCCACAAGAAGCCCAATCCACACTGGGACAATGTGATTTGACTCCTCATGTTAAATCAAAAGTATTTCTCCACAGAGTGGACATTGTGATTTATCTGACAGGTTGGTGGGGCCCGCTATGTGGTTTACCACTTTTAGAAAATCAAAATTATATCATGGAAGGAGAAAGTTAAGAATGACTCACTGCTTGTGTGACATTGGCAATAAGTGGTGTTACCATCACATGATTCTAAATGCCCGATAACACCATACCACCAACCTGCAAGATCACAAATTAAAGATTTTTTTTATTAATTTTGGAAATCTTTTTATCTTAATTTAAACGTCGTTATTTCTTGCATTTAACCTTTATATTATTTAAATTTAAACGAACTAATAAATCATGGTTCTAGAATGAAGAAAATACCATAAGGGAATTGTTTGTTCTTTCTCCATTGAATTTCAATGTGATCTTTTGGGCGCAAATCATTTAAAGAGTTTGAAATAAGAAGATCATGAGGTGAATTATCAACCGGAGCTGCCCTTAACCTCTCCCATGTCACACCGCTCTCTGACGCAATTGCCCTTGTCCCATGTGGTGGATATCTGTGCCACCAAAAATATATTTAAACATTACTACAAAAAGGTTATTCTTCTAGCAACCCCTGAGCTGACACTGCTCTACCCCAAGAGCAAGATGTAAATCAGGTACACAGTGGCCCACTGGCAGCTACACTGTGTATGTAGATAATAAAAGGTATTAAATTGTACCTAGCCTCGAAAGTATCCGTATGAGAATCATAGCAAAGCTCTGCATCATAGCATGACATGATGAACCCAACATGCCCATTCTGTAAAACCAAGAAATCGAGCATATTTCAACATGAAAAAATTCATTAAAATGCCCATTCTATAATTGGGTAGATTTTTCACACTACAATGATATGGGTGGGGTAGATTTGAAAAAGTAAAATGCCTAAATAAGAAAACAAAATTGCAAAATACAATGTTATAATAGAAAAAAGTGACACTAGAATGATATGATAAACAAATAAATAGCTAAAAGAGTTAGTTTTTTTTTTTTTTTTTTTAATACCTCACGATTAAAGACTTGAGCAGGAAACCAAAACATCCCAGTTTCAAGGGCTCTGTAGAATGACACTATGGAACAATCACTTGATGACTCCATCTGCTTTCTTTTTCCATTAAAGCTAGATTTAAACACCACAAGAGGCATGAGTTTAGACAAATATTTCACCAAAAACCCTCCTTCTCCACCATCAAAAAAGTAGTTTTTTGATTCCTTTTGAGTTGCAATATGCGATTCCCCATTCCCTTTGGGCAGCAGAACCAATGATTCTTCCCCATTTCTCCTTCATGTGTCGTTTCCATAGAAAATCACTCAAACAAATGTCTTTTAAACAAGTTGAAACACAAGCCATTGTTGAAAGGTCAGAAGGTTCAAGCTTTTCAAGAATGGTTTCCAATACCAAATCAGGCAAATCCAATAGACATGGATTCGTTGTTGTTGTTGTTGTTGTGGTGGTGGTTTTAGAGTTTTCTGAAGAATATGTTGTTGACTTGTTGACTTTCTTTTTCTTGGTCATGTTTGAGGTCATTTGGGTGTTTTTAAGGAATTTTATGGAGGGGAATAGGATTGATAAATTTTCCCAGAAATAGAAAGAGAGGAGTCTCATTTCACTAGCCCATGATGGAAGTGGTTTGATGGGAAGAGTGTATTTATAGAAGAAGATGAAGGAGATGAAAGTAACAAAGTAGATTAGCATTTTGAGAAAAATTTATGGGATTTTATTTTTTTTAATTAGTTTTTAGACGAAGCCCACTGTAGTGGGCTTCGTCTTTTTAAAAAGAAAAAATTGTTAACAGGAGACAATTGTTAACCTTCAAAAAAATGGTTCAATGGAGAAATAAAGAAGCTACCAAAGAGACTAGATGAAAAATGACAGAGCTATTAAAGGGTATGTGGATTAGATTGAATTACGAGAAAAAAATGAATGAATCCAAGAAATCTTGAAAAGTTTTTTCCTTTTCAAACCACTTTATGAAAAGTGGAATGAAAACAAATCAGGGTAATTGAGATTGTACCAAAAATTAGGTGTAGCTCAACAATTAAGCATAAAAAAAAGGATAAAATTTCAGAACAAAATTATTTTGATTATTCTTTTCGTGGGTTGAATGAACAGAAAAAGGGTGGAGATGGAGACTTGGTGATGACGGAGATTGATTTTTAAGAGAAAATTAGATTCTTCCTCATCAACAATTCATTCATAAACAAAATTTCCCTCTTTCAGTTCAGGCCCACGAAAAGGAAAGGAGAAGACAATACTTTTGGATTTTTTTTCGCCTTTGTCTTCTCCTCTCTATGGCCTTTTGTTCTCTTTGGAGAATTTCGTCAAACAGGTATGGGCATACACAAATATATAGAGAAAGAGAAAAAGGCGGAAGATAAATCTCCATCTCATTGACGTATTGACGTGTGTGTGGATTCTTTATTTTCGTAGCATGATTTTGTGTGGATACAATCTGAGCCACTCTGTCTCTCTTCGCCATTGGATTGCAACTTGGAGGAGAGTTCGGACTACCGGTGAATGTATGCATGTTACTTTTCTGCAGATAAATGCACTCATTTCAATGACACAAATGGTTTTCCAGTTTACACTTTTTGTTTGAAATTGTTTATAAAAAAATATTTGCAAAAGAAATTTAGGAAGTCAGTTTTGCATTCATGAGAAATATTTAAAATGTGATATTCTGTGACATGGGGCCACAGTTTTGTGCATTTGAAGTGATAACTCTTGTTTTTATTTAAATTAAATTAAATTAAATAAATGAGTTAAATAAGTCAAGCCGGTGGAAAGTTATTTAAATAATCATTTTATTAGAAGTTATATCATTATTCTATTAATATAGTTTTTTAATCATAACTAGAAAGGTGACCCCCGCGTTGCGGGGTCAGAAGGTGTCACTTTTATGTGGAAGTATAGTACATTGTTCTAATTGGTATCTACATAAAGTATGTTGCTATTGTCTAGTTTTCGCCCATTTACAAATACACAAATATGTTGGAGTATGCTATAATATAATGACCCCTTTGTGTTGCAAAGTAAATAGCAAGTGCGGCAGCAACATCCTGTTAAAAAAAAGTAAATTATTACGTCTCGAATATTAAATAAAGCAATGGCTAAGGCTAGGTTATGGCCAATACAAAGAGCCTATAAAACAAACATAAGCAGTATAAAAATATGGACAATGTTTCAATACAATTTTCTAAAAGTCAGTTGAGTATTAGTAATCGTATACCTACAAATCAACAATACACACACTTTCGGTAATGGATCAAGTAGTTCTTACCAATCGCATAAGCTTCACCAAGAAGCGCAATGCTCGAAATATCAAGACCTTGGATCATAGCATATGTGCTCTCAATGCATGCCTGTTATTAACTAACTGAAGAAATTTAAGTGCATAAAATATTATGTTTTTGCATTCAATTTAAATTCATTTGTAGACCAACCTCATCTAAAGCCTACATGAAAAAGGCCACATATTATGTAAATACGATGCATTATTCAACTCTACATTTTATAATAGATTATGAAAATTAAGAAACCTGAAGGAATGATATGTTGCTTTTATGTTGCTGATATCACAATAATTATACATATATTTCGAACGATATTTATGTATTTTTAGCTATATTTTGGTATGATTTAAGATAAAAGGTACTTATAAAGTTTGAAATTCCATTTTACAGCTAAAAAATCATTTTCTGAAGAAAAAGGAGAAGAAAATGTGCAAAAATCCGCAAAAAGAAGTGAAAGAAAGTACACGAAGAGAAAACGATATCAAAAGTCAAAGAATTCAAAGATAGCCACGTGGAAAGACAAGAAACAAAATAAAAAATATAAAAAGAATTTAATTAATTAATGAGGTTTAATTAAAATAAATTATGGGGAATTAATTATTTAATTTCTAAATAATTTATATTAATTAAATTAATTTAATTAAATTTAAATTGCAAAAGAAAAAAAAAAGGTGCTTATAAAGTTTGAAATTCCATTTTACAGCTAAAAATCGTTTCTGAGGAAAAAGGAGAAGAAAATGTGCAAAAATCCGCAAAAAGAAGTGAAAGAAATTACACGAAGAAAAACGAGATCAAAAGTCAAAGAATTCAAAGATAGCAACGGCGCCGTTGCCGGAGAATTCAAAGAAGTGAAAGACATTGCAATTATGCATTTTGATACACAAATTTCTTCCAACCTTTGAACCACAATTGGGGATTCAAGAGTCAAAAAAAAAGTAAGGAATTGAAGATTGCAGGGCAGTTAGTGACTACACATCGGGTTTGTTTTAATCGACAACATTTTAACATTCTCAATATGTGTTCTATGTATGTTGTAACCTTAATTATGAGCTAAATTCTCTTTGCTTTCACTTGGATAATGAAACCTTGAAAATATGTATGTTGTAACCTTAATTATGAGCTAAATTCTCTTTGCTTTCACTTGGATAATGAAACCTTGAAAATATGATTTGATTTATATTATTCGGATAATATAAATCAAATCATATTTTCAAGGTTTCATTATCCAAGTGAAAGCAAAGAGAATTTAGCTCATATTAAGGTTACAACTACATAGAAACATATTGAGAATGTTAAACATGTCGATAAAACAAACCGATTAGTCCCTAATGCCACTGCAATCTTCAATTCCATTAGCTTTTTTGACTCTTGAATCCCCGATTGTGGTTCAAAGGTTGGAAGAAATTTGTGTATCAAAATGCATAATTGCAATATCTTTCACTTCTTTGAATTCCCCGGCAACGGCGCCAAAAACTTGATGTGTAAAAATTCACTCTAGTCTTAAATTTATAAGGTTGAAATTACCGATACTAGAATTTACTATCGACTTAGGCAAGTGTACCTAATTGAATTTGTAATATAGCAATGGTAAGAACGGATGTCGAACACTTGGGGAAACGAGTATGATTTAATATTAGACTATTTGTCGCTAATTAACTTAAAAGATAAGTAACTTGGGGGAATTTCTAGTAACAAGATAATAATGAGAATTTTAACAATTAAAGTGTAGAATAAATATAGAACAAGAATTGGTTTTTAAGAATCAAGAATGATAAGGATGCTTTCACTTAGATTAAATTCCACCTTTTAGTAATGAATGATTTATATTAAGTGCAATGGATATTATTAGTTATTTACCGATTTCTAAAATTGGTTAAAATCATGATCTAAATTTTTACCGTTTTGATAATAAAATTAATTAAAAACAATTGTCATGCAATTAACAATTTTATTAACAATAATTAATTCGTATCATGCAAACATTTGATCAAACTATTCATTTTAGTGGTAGTAAAACAAATAGGAATCGTAAGTTGGTCGTACGATATAAAATATACATGTTAAATTTTTAGTAGTTTATTGCCCAATTCCTAGAATATTGTCCTTTACTAGTCATAAATATCAATGGTTATGAAAAATTTATGATTCAAGATAATATAATTAAAGTGATCTTTTAAAAATATTAACTTAGTTATGGGAAAATTAATTACAAAACTTAACATATACAAATAAAATGATCAAATATGCATGATAAAATAAATAACAATTAATATCCGAATAATATAAATCAAATCATATTTTTCAAGGTTTCATTATCCAAGTGAAAGCAAAGAGAATTTAGCTCATAATTAAGGTTACAACATACATAGAAAACATATTGAGAATGTTAAACATGTCGATAAAACAAACCCGATGTAGTCCCTAATGCCACTGCAATCTTCAATTCCTTAGCTTTTTGACTCTTGAATCCCCAATTGTGGTTCAAAGGTTGGATGGAATTTGGTATAGTGGTGATATGGTAAGAAATGTATGGAGAAATTTGTGTATCAAAGTGTGATTCATGATTCTCTCTTCTCTTCTCCCTCTTTTGTGGTGAAAAATGGTGGTATTTATAGTAAAAATTTGAAGAATTAAATACCAAAAAGAAATAAATTGAGATTGGATCTAATGAAAAGAATTAGAAATAAAAGATTAATTGATGGTGGTGCTTGGGTTGGAAAGTTTAAAATGAGTTTTGAGTATGGAATTGGCAAGAGGAAAGGTGGTTAGGATGAATAGTAAATGAAGTGGGTGAAGGTCAAGAAGCGGATAATGGTAATCGAAATGTGGGTCGGATCGGGTAAGTCGATGCGAAGAACGAGTGACGTCAGGCATGAACTAGTGGAACGGTCCTAAACGGGTCGTCGGGTCCCCACAACACCACCACCCAAACGCATCGAACGAACCAGTACCCAAAACCGATCACACGGACAAACCACAAATGAAACAAACAACGCGGATCGAAAAACACAACCGGAGCGGATCATATCACAACAAACGGAAAAAAAAATCCGAAACCACGAACAAATCTCGGATCGGAAATATTGGGTTAGTATGTGAGGGGAAGTGGATGCGCGGATATCGGGTCCCGGATCTGGGTCGCGATTTTGGATCAGGCCTTCTTTTTGGGCTCCCGAGTTTTTGGGCTAATTCCGAATTTTGTTTCTTTTCTTTTTTTTTTCTTTTGCAATTTAAATTAAATTAAATTAATTTAATTAATATAAATTATTTAGAAACTAAATAATTAATTCCCAATAATTTATTTTAATTAAACCTCATTAATTAATTTAAATTCTTTTTTGTTTATATTTTTTATTTTGTTTTCTCGTCTTTGCAACGCGGCTATCTTTGAATTCTTTGACT